GTAATTAGTTACTGATTACTTTTTTCAAGTAACTTGACCAACACTGGTAAAGAGTAATCAGCTGACTTGGTTATCTAAAAGTATAAACTGTTGATGGGCTTAAAGATATGGGTAGTAAATAATTAAAAATTAAAAGAAACTGAAAGAGAAAACGAGCAGCAAAAACTGTATGACAGATATTTAAATAAGCTAAAAAATGGATGTGGCAGCTGAAATACAAACAAAAGCATTTAAATGTTGAAGAATAAACACAAAAGACCTTAAATAATAAGTTATACAGTTTGCATATTAAAAAGCAATACATGCCTGAAATTTATGTATGCATTATGAAAAAGTTAAAAGTAATGAATAAGTACTTAAAGTATTCAAGAAAAAGCTAAAGTTGTGTATAAATAATCATTAAAGTTGTCGTTTCGGTTGTTCTCGACGTCTGGCTAAAATGTCCAGCTTCTCTCACTGCTATTGCAAACCAAATAAATACATAAATAAATAAAATGACAACACAGATATGATCTTACACTGTCAGTGAAACTGCATGTTTCAGAGTGGTGGGGTACCGGAAGCTTGAAGGTGGAAAACCACTCGAGTGCCTGTGTGTGACCCTGAATCACTCGGTGAGATACAGATTGACTGATATGTAGGTGCAAAGCATGCTGCACGGTGACTGTGTACATTACACGTACGAGTCAGAGGGAAGGGTGGAGTGGGGAGTAATGCTAAGGCGAGAGCAAAGACCAACCATCCTAACCACACCACCCACACCAACACGAACTGGGGCCATTTCTGCAAACCTAAGTGGTTTGGACTAAGTAAGGGAGTGTGAAAGCATTCCTGAATGCCAGTGTTTATGTGTGAGAGTTCTAGAGAAATGCATGTCTCTGCTGCAAAGCCCCACTCTCACACTAATAATCAGATTTGGTGCAGAGATGTTCAGCCAAGATATTTTCCGTCAGCAGACCCTGGTCTCTTTGTGGTTCTGCATGTTTATATCTCTGCATGCGAACATCTCACTGTGGATCACCGGGCTGTGATTGTCTGTGTGAACGTCTCCGTTTCCTAACAGCAGCTTTCTTTCTTGAACTGTAGACAGCGACAGAAAGCATACAAGCTGTGGAAATTGGCTTGTTTTTGGGTGATTTGGTAGCCTCTTCTCATCCACATCAAACAGAGCCACTACAGAAGGTTTGATCATCTAACCCCGATGTCTCCTGGAATCGTCCCAGGTGAAGCGTTTCAGGCATATCCAATAGAGAAAAGGCTCCAGGACATACCAGAGAGATCATGTCTCAGCCCAGAAGAGCTGGAGGTGCTGGATCTCTGTTTAGACTGCAGCCACCATGAATCAGGCTCAGATAATCAACAGAGAACGAACCGGTGGAAACTACCTAATCAACAAACAGCAAATATTCACGTCCAGCTCCATCGATCTCTGTGACGGGAGGAGGAAAATCTTATAAGCCAAAGTCCCATCTCATCAATTAAATGGTGCTGCTTCTTCATGCACACTAACTCTTATTAATGATT